TATTATATATAGTAATAGTAGTAATAATAATAATAATAGTATATAGATAATAATATAATAATAATATATATAATAATATAAGTATAGGCTATAACTATAAGTAGGCACGGTAGCACGAGTACAGTGGGAGCACGTACGCCGGGTCTGTGAAGCCATCAAACTGAGAGTTCTTGAGGAGAATGCAGCTGACAGCTCTCCATCGCAGGAGTACATGACCAGCACCGTCTCATCACGGCCCTCAGGCGCCGTGCAGCGACCCTTCGCCGCGTTGCTGCCTAGCCGGATGCCGAACTGCAGAAACCTGCAGAGATGAACGAATGAGCTTAGCTGCTAGTGGCAGCGTTTCTCACCAGGCCACCTATTTATTTCTCAGTACCTCGCCAGCACACCTATTTATTTCTCAGTCCCTAACTCCCTAGCACATCGCTCTATTCCTCAGTCCCTCGCACACCAGCACCCACATCTATTTCTCAGTCCCTCAATCCCAGCACCCCATCTATTTCTCAGTACCTGCGAATCCCATGCACCCCCATCTATTCTCAGTCCCCAATCCCCAGCCACCACATCTATTTCTCAGTCCTCAATCCCCGCATCACATCAATTTCTCAGTCCCTCAATCCGCCACACCACATATTTCTCGTCTCATATCTGCCCAGCACCACATCTATTTCTCAGTCCCTCAATCCCCAGCATCCACATCTATTTCTCAGTCCTCAATCCCAGCATCCACATCTATTTCTCAGTCCCTCAATCCCCAGCATCCAGATTATTCTCAGTCCCTCAATCCCCAGCATCCACATCTATTTCTCAGTCCCTCGAATCCCAGCACCCTCTATTTCTCAGTCCCTCAATCCCACGCATCTCCACGATCTATTTTCACGTCCCTCAAATCCCCTAGCATCACACATCTATTTCTCAGTCCCTCGAATCCCCAGCATCCATCTATTGCTTAGTCCCTCAATCCCCAGCAGCCACATCTATTATCTCAGTCCCTCAATCCCGCTATCCACATCTATTTCTCAGCTCCCTCAATTCCCAGCAGTGCCAGACCACTCTATTTCTCAGTCCTCTTCCCGAGCATCCACATCTATATTCTCAGGTCGCCTCAATCCCCAGCAATCCACATCTATTGCTCGCGTACTTCCCAGCAACCTTCTACTATTTCTCGTACTCACCAGCACCCACCCCTTCTGCTGTCCCAGACCCTCACTCACCACCCTCTCTGCTGCTAAGCAGTCTCCCCGCTCCCTAGCATCCCCGCCTCTCCTCGGGTGCGTCTGCAGTTATAAGCTTCACATTCCAGAGATATGGAGTATATCTCTAATCCCCAGCATCCACATCTATTTCTCAGTCCCTTAATCCCCAGCATCCACATCTATTTCTCAGTACCTCACCAGCACCCACCTCTTCTGCTTCCCAGCCCCTCACTCACCACCCTCTCTGCTGCTTAAGCATCCCCCTCCCTAGCATCCCCGCCCCTCCTGGGTGGTCTGCAGTTAAAGCTCCACATTCCAGGATATGGAGTATGCTCCTAAGAATCCACGCTAATATCAAAACACAGACGGGGGTCCGCCTCCCATTAATCTTTATCCCATCCTCACGCCAACATTCCTTCCCTTCCCGCGGCGCGCGTCTATGCGCGTGGGGTCATGCAGCGACACAGGGAGGCAGCACCTGTTCGTGGTTGTGCAGAGGTCGCCGGTGGTCAGCTGCCGCCGGCCGGCACCAGCGAACACGAGTGGCTTGCCCGAGCCGACGATGCCGCACTGGAAGCCGCGCGTAGCGCCCTCTAGTGTCGCGACGCCCGCTGTCAATTGGTCGCTGCTGAACGTTTCGTGAAGGAAGGCCGGCGGGGAGACGTAGGAGAGGTGGCACGTCTCCCCCTGGTATCCGTGGTCACACCTAGGTGGCACCACAGTAGTCATGTGAGACTCAATAAATAAATTCATTCGGTTGGTAGATAATAGATCTATCTTGGTAAATTTTTACCCAATCGGTTGAGTAAAAATTAACCAAGATAGATCAGTCATTTGAGATATTGCTATGGCAGCGGTATAGACGTGCCAAAGGGTTGATTTTCGTGTTTCTCTCTTTATCTCTCTCTAGAATTCAGTGCTAAGAAAGGTTGTAACTTTGTATTTGGTTTGGAAATTTGTTCTGCGAAAGTTCGTGCCGTGATACTTTGATTTTACATGTAAACTCATTTTTTAATGCTCGAGTTTTTTAATAGGAAGCATGTTTTAAATTAGGTATCGTTCACTCAGCACTTACATGCAGCCTTGTGCAGTGCAGGCACCATGGCCGCTACATCCTGCTGGGCACGCTCCGATATACACTGTCATTACACAGAACTTAGATTAACAAAACAAGCACAACACCTCATTCAGACGCATGCCACCTAACAGCGCATCCGATCGCCTAGGATATCTAGCAAAAATGGATCACACAAATCTATTACTACCGTATTCCTAGTTTTGATATCGGGTGGTACGGTTATTCGATATAGTTTAGCGTAGTAAGGTTTGACCATGGTACCGGTGGTACAAGCTGACGGCACTAACAATGCATGACTCACCATCGTCGATGGCCCAGCTCTGGTTAGTGCGCTTGTCCCCACGCCACATGAACCTGACCGAGTCTGTAAGGGCAGCATAGGGAAGCGGCATGGTTACTATCGTCCACCTGATAAAGCAACGAACGAAGACGCACGGATTAATTAACCAGTCATCGTGGTTAGTTTGCATTTTAACATCGATCGCCACCCGTCACGGGCTATTACGTGTAGAACAAGTGCAGGTGGGATCATTATGGCGTACGCAAGTGTGAAGCAAATGTTTATTATAAAATTAATATTGCATAAGATTCAGCCACACTGTGTGGAGAGTATTGGCTGGTCAGTTTCAGTCGTAGAGAGAAACATGGGCGACGGCTAGGCTCTATATTCACCCCTGCAGCTACATGGTTGTGTGCTTGTATGTACATGAACAATAAATCCTAGTTACATACACTCACCCAGCTACATGACTGTGTGCTTGTATGTACATGAGCAGTAAATCATAGTTACATACACTCACCCAGCTACATGACGGTGTGCTAGTATATGTACATGAGTAGTAACTCATAGTTACATACACTCACCCAGCTACGTACATGAAGACTGCCACGTACATGCAGATGGACTCCGAGCACTGGCCGTGACCGCTGCACATCCCCGGACACTGCGGCCCGACGTAGAAGTTACGCACCGCCCACTCATCACCGAAGCACAGCTGTGTCTGATGCAGCCGCAGGCTCGTCGAGCTTGACCTGGAGGCGCAGGTAAAACAAGTGAACGCCGTAATGGGTTATATGCAATGTAGATCTTAAAAAGCAGTTTTCATTCTTCGTTCACTTGGATTCATCCACGGGAAGAGTGTGATAAATTATACTTTTATATATCTTGTATTTTATTCATTTTTTAAAGATATTTTATCTTAAATCTATCTTATGTTTACTTTAGTTTTTTTTTAATGCTGTAACTATATAGTCACCATGTGTGGCGCGGCAGTGCTAAGGTGACACGTTTCCAGTTGGCGAACTCTGAACGCAGGTAAATGCTTCCACGACCATACACTGTACATTGAGGCATGCTGGGAAAACACTTCTCCTCCACTACGTGCCATGTTCTGCCCTAAAAAAAACAACAAGAGGTGGAGTTTAATACTCTGCTCCTCAATAACCTAATACTGTGGAATTTGTCTACTTCTACATCTGACTATAGCTTCTGTTAGTTCTGTACACGCACGCACGCACACACGCATGTACGCACGCACCCACACCCAAAACACGCACGCACGCACAGACGCACGCACGCACGCACGCACGCACCCACGCACGCACGCACGCACGCACGCACGCACGCACACATGTGCGCACACACACACACACACACACATATTACATTTATTGCTTATACATACTTATATATACTAAATACTGTTTCTAAGAAAAAAATGCCACAATGCTTCAGTATATCGCACACATATCTCTATAGTCTGTATAATAATAGTTAAACATGACGAACCGACCTTGTCGGTGGAGTACTGCAGTTCCACCGCGCTGTCACACACTGCAGGGTCGCTGCGTCCGTTACAACCCATCACCAGCTCAAACTGCAGCATGTGCGACGCGCCTATCGGAAGTGGTTTCGTCTCCAGAGTGCGTGGTTTCTCCTGGGTGGGGCTTCCCATGAAACTATTAATGATGAATGAGGAGAAGCATTAGGTATATACAAATGAGAGGCGGCGTGGAAGCTAGGAATAGGTATCACAAGCTTATGGAACATTTATATGAAGTCATTGTATTGAACTAGCTGGAACCCGCGCTAAGCGCGGGCTTATAGTGACTGTGATGCATGTGGTACCGACTGTTCAATACCCAGA